CGGGAGATGTCAAGTCAACAGAAACAGTGTTCCGTGAAGTTGGACATTGAGTCGGAACTTTGCTGTATGCTGTTATCTGCAACAAAAAGGACAACTTCGTCGTGCTTCGGGTGGAAGTCAGAAGATTCGCGTAAACACAGATGGTCCAGCGCTGTGAAGGTCGGGAACTGTGAGTGCACTCGGGAAGTTACTAGGTTGGTTAAAGTTACGGGACAATTTATATTATTGTGGACCTTGTGTGCATTAATTTGGAAGCCATTTATTTGAAAGTACATTATTTCATTGTGTTTGTAATTTATCATGTATTAGTTGTTGCTAGGTGCAGCTCAATTCTTATTTATTCATTAATAATTATTTAAATATGTATTGACGTGTGACGTGTTTTATTGCTCCCCATTCCCCGTATATTCCAGTCCTTTATATATATATATATGCTGAATAAAATCACGCACACGGGAGGTAATAATCTGGCAGGTCTGACAGTTTAATAAGGTTTGTAGAAAATTCCGGAGTAGTGCAGGTGAAATTCTGTTTTGTGTGGTTGCGACCATACTGTTTCTATTCGGCCGTGTACTTTAGTGACTTGCGAGTCGCGTGTCAGACTGCTTGGCCCTTCCACACGTGACAAAGGTTGAGGTTAAAGGTTCGGGTTACAGGTTACTCCAGGTCGATAGCTTGAATTTGTTATTGGCAATCCGCTCCGCTAGGATTGCCCTTATAATCACTTTTGTCGTTTTGGGTGTGTGATTTCCAGTGTTTTCACGTATTATTTCTTCTGTGCTTTTTTGGCTTGGCCGATTTCGCTCAAACTTGGCAGGTAGGTCACACCTTCAGCCTAGTTATTAGGGAAAATCTGGAAAAAAAAATTGTTCGCGCCAAATGTATCTCTTCCTACACATTTAGGATAAAACACTTCAGACATAGCTCATTCTACTCAGCTTCAGTGTGGGCACAAAGTTACTATTTAAATTTTTGATATCTATTTTTCATTACCGAGAAATTTTATCCCAAAGTTGGGGTAACTTTTCACCAGCAATCGCTTTTTACTCTATGATTTTATCGGCTCGGCTGATTTTTTTCTTACTTGACAGATAGGTCGTACCGTCACTAATTGGAAAAAATCCTGGTCCACCACTGCCATTGCAACATACAAAAACTGATTTTTGAAAACTTTCGCCCCAAATGTATTACCTCCTACCAGTTTTGTAATAGCAGTGTTCAAATGATCATGCTTTTTATTTTGGCTACGTTGCGCACTCTGGTAAGATATCACTGATGCCGACATTGTTGCACTGTATCAACGTAATCCCAACGCAACTTCATTCTATACTGTCGCAACGCGGTTGGAAATAATAAATGTAACAGTAGAATTCGTCAAAGTAATAAACTAAGTGACTTCTAAAGACTGAATGGTTTTTGCGGAATTCGTATACGGGGCCCATTTTCATTACCGGGAAAATTGACCCCAAAGTTGGGGTAACTTTTCACCAGCAACGGCTTTTAACTCCTGTGACTTTTGCGAACTTTGTATACGGGCTCATTTAGTTAAAAACCGTCGTTAGCTTCACGTTATGTCACACCATAAAAACAGCCAAAAAACATTTTGCTTGTTTTTGAGCGGAGCGGATCGCCAACCAGCCTACCGGCTTGAAGATTAAAATATGTCAGACTGTTTTTATGTAAATGTCGTTATTTTGGCGCCTTTTGTGTGAGAATCACGAAGTGCTTCCACACAATAAAATGTTCAGTATTTGTAGTTTGTAATTTGTAATTTTAAACGATTGTGAAATGTATAAATATATTATTCATTACTTAAGAATAAATAATACAAATTTATAAAAACCTAAATACAGATTGGTATCTGGTATGTAGGTCACGTGTGCAGGGCAGAAATTGTGAATTGTAAAACGTGATGTCATTAGGGCTAAATGTTAGTTACTATAGTAACATGTAAATTAAGCCACCATTGGGGAACACTTTACCCAGGAAAACAACACCTTCAACACACCATGTGCATTATACAATTACTAAAATACCATGTCCTTGTATGGGGTGAGAATACCGCAAAAATTAGCTTGGTGTCATTATTTGAACATTGTTTAGTTGTTTGGTTTTTATTTGGAAACTAGTTTGGTTATTATTTGGTCATTATTCGGTTATTTGGTCTTTATTTAAACATTAATTTGCGCTTATTCCATTGTTATTACTGCAGCATCGTATTGCTATTGTTTCATTATTTCAACTTTATTTCTTAATTATTTCATTATTGTGTATTTGCTACAATATTATTTTGTCATTGTTTCATTATGTTACAATTGTGTCGTTATTTAAACATTATCTTGACATTCAATTGTCAAGATTCGGTTATTTTCACGTCCAAATGTCTTGACATTCGGTTCGCTTGACTTGCGATTACCTCAACATTCGATTACCTGACCTACATTAGCTGACCCCGCTATACATGTAGTGTTCAATCCATAGTCCCGGGCCGCCTCCGATAAAGCATTGCTCATGATGGCAATGTAGCCTTTGTAAAAGTTAGCGAGAATTTCTAAATGATGGCCGTTTCGTTAACACCCAGGGAACTGACTGAGGTCGTCAGAGCCTGTCGTGACGAAATATCAAACGCCGCAAAACGTGTTGTTGACACGACGCGCCCCTAACAAAATTCGCGAGAGATGACCCGACTTGATCATTAGATGATGACCAGAATGTGCCAAGAACCAAACACAAGACTGGTTACCGTGTCGTAAACTCGCGAAATTTGAAAGAACTACTAATATTCTTCAAGCTGGTATTTTTTTTTTATAGATTTTATTTTTCATTCTTTTCGCCTGTTTTTCAAGTTTAAAAAATGTGAGCTGGCTGGAGCCTTCTTCTCTTGTCTATTTCTAATACACTAGATACCAGCCGATACCCC